CTTTTTTCTTTTAAGAGGCTCCCTACATGTGCCACAACTGCCTGATGTGCTTCTGACCTGCCCCCCTGTGCACAGATCAGTACGAGGCAGTCTTACCTGAACTCCTGAAACTTGCCTTTCACTTTCTGCTGGTTGATCAGCAATTGTGCCCTTAGTTAATGCTCTTAGTCTTGCAAGGCATTTTAGAAACTGTTAAATGCCTGTTGTTTTTTAATATGATGTTAGAGGATTTGACAACTCTTTACCTAATTTGTACCTAATTTGGCAGTAGGTACAGCCTTGTACTGCTGACTGACTATGGAAGTACAGAAATGCGACCCGATGGAGTTGGCCACGACTCTCTATTGCAGATCTCCAAATCAAGTCCAGGAAGCATTGGTTGGTTATGGGCTCAAAGTGTGAATCTGAATATAATCTGATTTCTTGCTGAATCTTTATCTTGCTTGTAGCTGTGAATATCTTTCTATTCTGCACCTGAAGCGTAGAGCGGAGAAGGGAGCTGCCAAGAGGTAAGCACACTCCTCCAAACACTTAAATTTCATGTCTGGAAGCTTTATGCATTTGTGGTGTGTAAGCTGTAACATAGTAGAATTTTGTGGTAATAGTTTTGTGAAATCATCCACCAGACTTTGTGTTTAATGGGAACAAAAGTTGATCTCCCTCAAACTCAATGCATTGAAAGTTGCTTTGGCATTTTTTGTTATGTTGACAGGATTCAAGCCTTTCTATTTACTGTCTTCTAAGTGATACAACTGCATTTTTTTCTAGTCTTGGTGTTTCTAATGGTACATCAAAGGGTAAGGTGGGGGCAGAGCACTTTCTCAAAGAGCTAGTGGAGTACCAAAGAATGAACACAGTTCAGTCAGCTCAATGATGCTGAGATAGAATGAGATGCAGTAAATGTTTTCTGTAAAAATGTGAACCTACTCAGTGCTCAAAGAACCTATGCTAATTTTTAGAAACGTTTTTAAGATTATTCTATCAAATGTAAAGTACTGTTCAGGGAATAAATGCAGTGCTTGTACTGGGACAGTATTTGAGTTGCTAGGGAAAAGAATTTAATGTTTTTCTGGTTTTGCATCTTAAAGAAGAGTCTGTATACGTTGGTTGTAAGCACTGGCAATGAAAGCATGTGAATTTCACACAGGAGCTCAGGGGTGCTGCTGTTTCCTTCTGAGAAAGCTTTTTCTCATTTTGCCGAATTCTGCAGAGGTTTTTCCCTTTGTTGTACTGCTACAGTCACTTCTTCTTTAAAGAGTAGCTTTGGAAAATCTTTAACTTTGTATTTCAAAGTTCCCATGCATTGCAGTTGTCTTTAGCTGACCCTGCCTTTGAAGCACTGTGCAACTGATCTTTTCTGATGCTGCAGTTCTGTGTATGTATACATATAGGCGTGTGTTTTATGACATAACAGACTCTTTCCTTAAAGCAAAATGCAAGCAACATGTCTGGGGATAGGATTGTTCCTGAAGGGCCATGTAAGCTTATTGTTATTGTGAATAGCTTTGATTTTCACTGTACATACCAATGGTTCCGTGTAAGATGCTGGAAATTATGTGGCCACAAGAGGTGAAAAACCCAAAACTCTGTTTTAGACATGTAAAGATCTGCATATTTTCGAAGGGAGACTGGGAAAGCCTTCCCTCTCTGTGGGAGAGTAAGCCCTGCTGCCCTACTATCAGGTGCTGTATTACTGTGCTTTCTTGTAAACCAGACTTTGCATGGATGGGATTTTACTGTAAATTCAAAATTTGAAATGTAATTTTCTCATATCAAGGAAAATTTTCAGGTGTCACTCTAGACATGTGGAAATGTAGTTGTAACTGAGATTTTGCAGATAAGGGAAAGGCAAGCCTTGTGATGAGGGACCACAAGCATATAAATGCAACATGAGTCTGAAGGACAGCTGGATTTCCTATAAAATTGACAGACTTTGTCCGTCTCAATTTCTGGACAGAAAGATCTGTAGCTGTCAAGGGGGCTAGCAATTGGGCAGCATAAATGCCTACTCATACGTTGGCTGCATGATTTAATGAATTTTATTCAGTGTTTAACAAGAGGGCTAGCTTCTGCACTAGTCTATTTTCACCCAGGTTTAGATGGATGTTTTCCCTGTGCAGATTTGAATAGTGTTCAACTCCCCCAGGGGCATAATGGCTGACATTTTGGAGTAGATTAAATCTACTGACTTTGACAATTTAATTTTAGCTCTAAGGGAAACTTGAAACCAAATTGTGATGTTCACCCACTGTGAATTAACAGCTATGTAATTCTCCGCACTGGTTGTTAAACTGTTGGTTATACAAAGTGAAGCCAAAGTGTTTATACAGCTGTTTATCTATTTATATACACTTGGCTGTGGTTATTTGAGGAAAATCATTTACCATTTCCGGGAGGTCATTAGTGCAGTGAAAGAAAAATTCTGCAGCATAAATGGATCTCTCTTGCTGTGGAATGCATTGATTAGACTGTAGGATGATTGTGCGCTGATTAAGAAAGAATTTAAGTATCTATAAATAAATTCCTCTGCACTCTGCATCTTAATAGTATTTGGCTGTTAGGAACCAGTGCCTGAAGGAATCAGAAGAAAGGAAGGCATTCAGGACCTTGTAACAACAGAAGGGAAAACAAGGATGTTTTTGTTGTTACTTTTTTATAATCCAAATAACAAAGTTTGAATCTTGCACTAGAACGCAACTTATGTCCTAACATGTCCAGCCTGCACGAGATGCCAGAAGCCAAGATCTGGGTAGGAAATGCCAAGGGCATCTTTCCCTGCAATTAGCATCAGCATTAGACTGCCTGTATTAGATCCTAAGTAAGTGTTTCATATTCAAGGGCTGGGCTAATTGGGGAAAATTAAATGGTAAACACTCCCTTTGGGAGTGCTCTTAGAAGAACAGCATCTGAGCAGGAATTGCTGTCAGCTCTGGTCAATCTCCAGCAGCTGCCACAGCAACGGTTTGTCCACAGGGGCTCACTGACATCTGTTACTTCAGGTGGATGGATTGTAGAGACTGCCGCATGGAGAATCTGCTGATGTACTGTAGTTGTTTGTCTTGTCTCATTAATGTTTTGTCTGGGTCAGTTACCATGTTTGTCAGTTTACCATTTCTTTTTCGGCTCTAGTAAATGTAAAGTACTAGAAATGTGTTGCTTCCTACTTTGTAATAAAAATAGGTAAAATGAATAGCAGCTTGAATTCAATCTATATTTGGTTTGAAAGGTAATAGCAGAGCTTCTCTTGTTATGATAGAATGAGTGACTGGAATAAAAACCTTATACCAGAGCATTTCATCCAGTTTTCAAAACTTCTCATGAACTAAACTGGTGCTGCTGGGTAAAGGCTTCCATATGTGTCTGGAAGTGGACAGGCATTGCCAAATACCTTTCGGTGAGGGCCTAGAACATTTCGTGCTGTCTGTACTCACAGATAGATTAATGGCTGGCAGAAACGCTGCAGGAAGTGGGTGCCCTGGGGAATGCTGGAAAGAGTGGATAAAGTGAAGAAGTGCCGAGTTTGAAGTCTATCACTAGTGCACGATGTGCACAACTTCCTAATAAAAATAGCTTAAAGAAGAGTCTGAGTTTAAATACATACTGATAAGATACACAATCAATAAAGCTTTATTTTGGGAAAATTTTAGGAAGGTCATTGATGCTAGAAATCACTGTGCTAAGGGACTGATCTGACAGAACAGAAAACTGTAGAGAAGTTTCTGGGAAATGGGCAAGTCCCACTTTGTTCCAAGTGACAGACTGTATGAGGAGTGAAGGCCAGGAGTGAGGCTTTCACACTCCTAATATATCATTAGGAGAAGTCATAGAGACCTCTTGCAGGGGCAATGGGCTTCCATGCCCTCAAGCTTATCTGTTTGGTTTTGGTCAGCACCAGAAGATACATTTGGAAAGCAGTGTGTAATGACAGAAGGCAAGACCTCTAGTTTCTTCTGGCAAGGTCATGAAGAGACTTGAGAATAAAATACTGGGAGAGAGCACTAGGTGTTGACGACTGAGCAGCTGGATGGCTGTGGTTGTGGCCCTCCTGTGGAGCTGGGAGTCACACTGTGCTGACCCACAGCCCCAAGAAACCCTCAGCTGTCAGGTGGAGTGTTTCCAGCGCAGGACTTCTAAATGTTTCCTCTTACTGCTTTCCCACAGGACAGCTAGCTCTGAGAGATCAGCTCATGAGGGGAGTAAGCAGCAGCAGACAGTAATACGGGCAGGTTGCCATGTACAGTCTGAACAGGTTGCCATGTACAGTGTGAAGGCTGTTGTTTCACTCACTACCAGGCTTGATTGTTTTATTATAGCCAAAAAAAATAGTGCTAGTTGATGTGTAGATGATCTGAAGAGCTACTTTATGGGGACAAACGACCAAGTTCTTGCAGACACACAAAGGCACAAAGCCCCTGAGGCAAACTGTTGTTAAGAAACCCAAAACATCCAAGCTGCTCCAAGTGAGCTTGTAATTTCATTGGGTGATAGAGGCAAGGAGGCAGAGCATCATCGTATATCATGAAGTGTAAATAGGTGGCAATATGTCTGCTGCTCCCCTGCTCGGGGCTGACAAGCAGGTTGAGGTGACTGACGTGCGTGGGCAATGTGACACGGCCAGGCGTTCGGGTGTTTCTTTCTGTGCCCCAGCCTGCCTCAAGGCACATCAGGCTTGGGAGACTAGAAAACAAGCGTCAACACCAAACAAAGCAGCGTTCTTCGGTGATGAATGCTTGATGTTTGGCCAAACTTAGCCGCACCTCTCTGGCTGCCACGAGGGGGGGCAAAACAAAAATCCCTTTGTGAGGAGATTTTCACGGCCGAGACGCCCGGCTGCACCCCGCAGGGGCGGCAAGCGAAGCGCCGCTTCCCGCCTCGCCTCTGAGCCGGCGGCCGCGCAGAGCACGCCGGGAGCTGTAGGCCTGAGGCGTGGAGGACTCTCGCCGGGACTACGTCTCCCAGCGTGCCTCGGGGTGGCGGCGGCGCTTGGCAGCCGGGCCGCGTACGTGGGAGCGGGAGGCGGCGGCGGGTATGGGCGGCTGTGGCGGCGGAGGGCGGTGAAGCCGCCGAGATGTGGCTGAAGCCCGAGGAGGTGTTGCTGAAAAATGCCCTCAAGCTATGGGTGCTGGAGCGCTCCAACCAGTACTTCGTGCTGCAGAGGCGGCGGGGTTACGGCGAGGAGGGCGGTGGCGGGCTGGCAGGTACTGCGCGGGGCGGGCGGTGCTGCGGTGGCCGAGCGCGGGCCGATCCACCGCGGCGAGGTGCCTCGGGTGTTGTTTTCTTCTTCCCATCCCGCTCTTCCCCCTCCCCCTCCCCCCCCCTTTTTTTTTAGTATAAATTTTTTTAAAATTGCTTTCCTTACTCTTCGCGTGCACCCCAGCAAGGGGGTGAGGTGGCAGAGCTGAAGCTCTGGGCTCGGCCAAACGGGAGGCGGCACTGACACCGCGACAGGCTCGCTGTAGCGGGCTTTATTTCATGAGAACTGGAGGTGCAGACCGGAGTGTCCAGGTTTGGTTACTGTACGTGGCATAACGTCCTCTGGCACCCCAGGTGGGAGAAGAAATGGCACAGGGACGTGGAGTCACGTTGGGGTGTCACAGAACCTAAGGAGTTGGAAGGAACTTATGGGGATCTCCCAGTCCAACTTCCCCTGATCTGGTTTTACCCATTACCCGTTATCCTGTCACTGCATGCTACTGAAAAGAACCTGGCCCCATCCCTTTGACTCCTGTCCTTTAGATATTGCACCCCGGGGTACCGCTGGCCATATGGCCACAAGGGTGCACTGCTGGCTCGTGGCCAGCGTGGTTTTAAAGTGTTACGAATGAGTTGTGTCTCTGGGTTCGTATGAGTTGCATCTTCACATTCTCTCTAATTGCATCGTCATAATGTAAGCTGTACTGAACGTGATGCATTATTGTCTTATTGAAGCATTTATTAATTCTTCCCAACAATTTAATAACATCTAATTGTCTGACTGACAAATTCCACAGGTAGAAATAGCCCTTCCCACCAAAGGAGTTTCATTGGCATGTGAATCACTTATAGGGGGCAAGGAACATGTAAAAAGAAATAACTGCATGATCCCAGATTCCATGCTAGGAATATCGTGGTGTTATAGTAGATAAAGTCAGGCTTCGGCTTACAACAAAGGATGATGTCTTTCAACTCTGGTCACCAATCTGGGTTGGCTGTTCTCTGTCCTGTGTCTTTGGAAACCAAAGCAAGCTGAAGCGTTACAAAGGTTGTCAGGCAGTGTGGTAAGATTCACCCAAGAACTGCGACAAAAAGAAAGAATGAGATGTCTGTCACTGTTCTCCTGACCTTGCAAGCGTATAGCAGCATGGGAAGAACGCCCAAGTGGGATAGTTCCTTTGGTATGCCTTCCAGGATGGTGTTGCATGTTTTGTTTCTATAGCTTTTCTATTTATATGAGGCTCATACAGCTTTTATTTGCACAGGTTACTTTTTAGTGAACAGAAGCAAAAGTAAGATGTTCCTGAATTAAATTGGTAAATAACAAAGGTTAGCAGAAGAATTGGAAAATAACAGAGTTAGATTTGTGTTTGCAGGTATGAAAATATTCAAACCTCCTAGGTATAAACTAGCATAAATTGCTGTGCCTGATTTTAATTTCTTAGTACTGTGTGTGACTCAGATAATTAGTGCTTACTTCAGAAAAAAAGCAATGAACAGCTATTATGTTATGCCATCACCTAGGAGAGTGCCAGCGAGAGCCTTTTGCTTTTCTTGTGAGCAATGTTTTCCAGCTGATGCGACACAGGGTGAAAGGGACTGGGAAATGGAGCCCTGTAGGAGGAGAGGGACAGTGCCTCAACATAGCATGGGGAGGAAGGTGCAGAGTGCTGCATGGCTGGGACTGCACTGATGTGCTGGCTGAGGGACGGCTGCAATGGATTTCCAGTGATACAAGAATATGCTCAGTAAGGAAGACTTTGAGGAGGGAGCAAGTGAGTATTGAGGGCACAACCAGAAGCAGAAGGTGCAGACCGAGTAAAAGAGGAAGGCAGGGTTTGATGTGTTAGCATGGGCTTATAAAGAAATCCACGCTTAGATTTGTTTATGCATCCCTTTGGACTGGTACAACAGGGTCGGTTTGTCATCTTTTGGTGATGGCTAGCTCCTGTGGTTTGTGTCCACGCACAGTGTAGTTTACTAGTTGGTTAGTGTGGATAGAGATGGATACTTTGTGCTGGTTTCGCTTAGCCTTGGTCTTCTCTGCCTTTATACACCTGCTTAGTTTTACATTTCATTCTCTTTTCCTCCTTAGACCTCACCTAAGGGTGCGGATACTGTAACCTGTTTGACTGCTTCTACTTCCTGATATTTCACCTGCACTGTGCTGTCACAGAATCTTCTGCCTGCAGTGCAGCTGTGTGGCCATGTCCTCCACTCCTTCTGTTTCTGCAGAGCCACTACAGGAGGTCTGCTTAGTCCTTCTAGGGTGTATTTGTAAGGATACAGTTAAACAAAATGGTGTGTGTGACAAAGCACAGTTACAGTGACAGGAAATTGCTGCTGGGAATGCACATGCTGTACACAAGATCTAGTGAGATCGAGTAGGTTGGTCATGAAGACCTTGTTTCAGTTATATATATTGTTTGGTTATAGGACCTTAGCTAGAAGGCAGGTATTCTGGAGTAATTATATATGATGTTACAAAATACCAGTCTTTCAGTGACATGCTTTAGCTTTTTCCTTTCTGCTCCAGTGTACAGCACAACTGTGAGAGGAGAGACACTTACTGGTAAAGCACATGGTTGGGAATAATCTTCCCTGCTCACTGAATGTGCTGTGCTTGAAAAAAGGGAGATTTCAAATGTTGGGAAAAATCCTGACTCTTTGAGTCCTAGATTTCCAGCAGCAATTACTGCTATCCTGAATCTGCAGAAGGTTCTTGATGCTATTCCTGCTTGTAGAATGCAGCCTGTTGTCTGTGTCACTGCTACCTAGCGTGCTAGCAGAGGAGGCTGGAGACAGAGCTAGGCTTGTGTATGCTCTATTTGACTTTATCTGTCAAAGGGCATTATGTTAAAGAACACTTTAGCATGGTGAGTATAAGCAGCAGGGACCTTGCCTCACACAGAACTTCCCATTGGGTCAATTAAAAATGGTACTCAGTGATCTTACAGGAATTCATTTTAGTGGGAATAGCAGGGCAGGAGTGGAAGCTTGGGAAGCTTTGCAAGTAGGCTCAGTATGTGAGAGAGGCGATGTTTGTTTTTTGGAACTTCAAGGTCTGTGCTGTGGAGTTGGGTGTGAGGCTGGAGAGGTGCAGCTTGCACTTCGGGTAGTTTTCAAGTTGCCACAGAGGTCTGTAGTAGTGTGTCCCACTGTCTGGTGAAGAGCAAGTATGGCAGCTCTGCTGGCACTGGGAGGAGCAGGCAGCGCTGCGGTGTGGCTGTGCTGCTGCCTTGGGGACAGAAGGGTTGGCACTCAAGGTCATCTTGCTTGGTCTCCGCAGAAGGTGCTGCACTGCTTAGATGTTCAGGAGTTTTACTCACCTCTCTATTTAGCTCTGATTGCGTATTGAATTGACATCTATTCATGTTCTGTAGCCTTTAGCTGTGCAGAAGCGAAGAAGAGGAGGAGCTGATGTATGTCAGACTTGCCACTGGACCTACCAAGGAGACCAGTGTTTGTCTTTTTTACAGAAAGTTTCTAATTTCCCAGTTTTCAAGGATATCTTTATTGCCACAAGTACTTTTACATATGGCCCTGAATACACACCTTTGTTTAATAAGCTGCCATTGTCTCACCTGAGTCATAAGCACTGGCCAGAATGTACATTGTAAATAGAGATGAAATCCTACTCACAGGAGACTTAGATGAACCAGTTTTACATCTCAATTGCTAAAGAGCATTTGCATCTCAGTCCATGCTCTGTAGAGCCGTAAGCTGAGGTTCCTTAGTCATGAGACCAAGCTGATTTGGAAATACAATTAAACAAAACAAAACAAACAAAAAAAGGAGTTCTGTGTTTAATTTGAAGAAATGGGACAGGGAGTCTTATTCACAAGTTGACATTCTCTCATTTTAAATAAAGCACGCTGAGACAGAGAGGTTTTTTTGGCTAAGTATAGCGCTTGTAAATGGCCAGTTGTCACTAGATAAACTTTTTTTTTAATTTTAAGTGAAGCAAAATGCTGTGTAAATGTATTTAACATTCTGGGATGAGGCTTTATCTTGCTTTTGTAAACAAATATTTATGGTGGTGAGGATTTGTGGTGTGGGTCTCTTGCATTGCATTGCCTCCAGGGTTGATTTCCTTCTTTAATGCACAATTTATTATTGACTTTATTTATTATTGACGTTACAATACAAAAACAACTGAACAGTTCATGTAAAAGCCATTGCTTTACATTCTTCATGTTTATGTTTCTTCTGAACATAGAGATGCTGGTTTTGGAAGGTGCTGAGGCTGTTGCATGCGTCCCTGCTGGGAGGTGTCCTCAGTGGGATTCCGCCCATTCTGTTCCATACTATAAACAGGTGTTGCTCTTGAACTATAACAAATATCTGATTGAAATGAGTGATATTTATTTTCTGACACAAGCCTACTTTTTTCATAGTGTTTTTCCCCTTTGGACTTGCTTTAAGGTTCAGGTTGCTCTAATTAATGCCAAACCAAACTCTTCCTGCAGAGCTCCACTTTCTGCATTTGCTGTCACTCAGATGCAGCTCTTATATTACTTTCACACTGTGCCTTTTTACATCAGCGTAAACAAACGTGGAGTGAAGCCTCAGTTGTACCTGGATGTGTCTGCTTTGAGAGACCCTGGGGACGCGGGGCTGGCCAGCACTGTGCTGATGAAGCATCTCTGTCTGTAAGGAGCTCTAACTCTCATCAATATTTGATGTCCAGCAACACTTCTAATGTAGTAAATCAGGAGAGTGATCTGGTTTTAATTTCATCAATTATTGATCTCAAAGGTACTGTTAGGCAGCAGAGGAGCAAACAGGCTTGTGCCAACTCTGCTTCAGAGCAACAGCAGTTCTTTAGGGAAAGCACTCGGCAGTACTCTGTGGATGAGCCTGGTGAGATAGAAGAACACAGCAGTGTCGCTCCCAAAAGACAAAGTGCTGGGCAGTTATTTTCATGTAGCAGATAGGCATTATTGCCGTAAGTTGGTACAAGTGAGAGCAGAATTCATGGTGAACATGTTCTGGTGGATGTCTCTGCAGCAAAGTACCAAGGATACTATGCAAGGCACAGTGCTTCCAGTTACCACTGAGTCATCCACACTCAGCTCTGAAGGTTTGGTGTCACTGAGGCAATTTGTTCCTGATATAATGTCAGCTACTGTTTGTATTCTGTTGGCCCAAGGCTACATAAAGTTTTGCAAAGATCACCTTATTCCAAAGCTATTCAGGTTTCCTGGCCCCTTTATTTTCTAGGATGTTTTTCTCTGTGCACTTCAGTATCCATGGTGCTTCTCAATGGTTTTACTTAAATAACCATGAAATTGAGAGTGTTTTCTAAAAACAGAACCTTTCTCCTTGTGAGTGTGCATCACTGAAGTTGTCAAAAGCTGAAATCATTCCCTGTGTGAGGCTGGAGAACGACTTGGCTGAAATCAATGCCAGAAACTGTGGGTCTGAGAGCAGAGGTGAGAGTGGAATCGTAGAATTGCTCAGATAGGAAAAGACCTTAGAGATCATCTTAGAGTCCAGCTGCAACTTAACCATACTACCCTAACTCTAGTAGGTGACCTTCTGAAGGTTGTCCCTAGAACTGGTGTTTGAGAACAGTATGCTGCATATCATTGGCAAGGGATTGGCAAATAGGGTCTGATTTGCTTTTTCCTCTTGCATCCCCTATGGAGGTAATGCCACTATTTGGGTTGAGCAGTTGCTGATTTTTCTGCTCTCTACTCCTTTATTTTACAATTAATATCCTTGGACTAATGACCTTTAAACCTTTCCTTGTCTGCAGCCTTGGAAATGAACGTTCCCTTCTTGTAGTCGGAGCATATTCAGGCCCAGGAAAAGCAGGTGGGACTGCCAGGTCCTTGCAGTGATGCCAGTAACTGCAGCTGTGAAATGAGCTCATCACCTCTTGAATATTTAATGGCTGAAGCACTAATCTGCAGTTGTGTTGTAGACAGCACTGCTGACTGGTGGAACTACTGAAATGAGAAATACTGATGCAGTTTGTGCCTAAAATTCTGTGATATGATGATCTGTGATATGATCTATAAAATCTGATGGTCTTCCAAACTGATGGGAGCTCTTACAGCACTCAGGAATGCTGCTCCCTAGTGTGCTGTCACACTCATTCACACAAGCTGAGCTGTTGCATCAACCTTAGCAACAGTGACTAATGTCGTGGTACCATATCGTAACAAAAATATGATGAGGAGAATTGTAGAAGATAATAAAGTATCTACTGAAGCAGAGCCAGCTTTGTGACGATGAGCTCAGTGTTATGACTCAGTAAGCCACAGCTCTTAAAGCAGTTATGAATGTTATCTGTTCAATGACTGACTGTAGTTTGAATGTACAAAAAATGCTACTTTTCAACAGGAACAGTCTATAAGTTGCAGGCAATGCAAGGTAATAGTTTTGATTGATGAGATTTACTGGTCCTTGGGTTCCCTTTGTGGTTTTTATTTGCTTCCATTTTGTTAAGACAAGGAAAATCATTCTGAAAATTGAATAGCCACATCGATAGGTCACACGAGGTCTGTGCTGCAAGGGAAATCGTGTTCAGAGGATAAATGCCTGGATAAAATTGAGGGGTCTTGCTTTGATTCACTGAGTACTCACAACTGGTACTTTCCTAAGTTGAGGAGGGATTAATGGAAGGAAAGTAGAGTGACAGCATTGCTTGTATTTTCATTGCTGTTGTAACAGGATTTACTTGAACATCAGAATCCAGAAGTTTGTATTTTTTTCTGTGTTGATTTTTCTTCTTCTTTTAGAATTTCTTGGTTCTTAGCTTTAAATACAGCTTTTAAGATCTCTGAGCTGTGTAACATCTTTGTTACTCTTAGTGACAATGATTTTGCTTGTCAAGATAAAATGCATACTCATTTTGTCAGGAAATATCGAGAGAGAGGAGAGAGTGTCTTTTTTTTTTTTTTTAGTAGAGATGAAGTGTGTTTTGTTAGTATTTTGATGTAAACTGTGTTTAAGTGGAACTAATTCAATATTTAGGGGCAAGGAGGTAACATGGTCATTGTATCTGGTACCAGTAATCTGTAATGAAGTAATGCATCATCACACATGATGGCAGGATGAAATCCTCATGTTCCATGGTTTATAATGGAGTCTTATGATAGACTTGCTAAAAAAACACATTTTGTAGCCCAATGCCTGGAGAATTGAATGAACAGGAAAACTTCTGTCTGTATAAGGAGTGTGACATGGTGTTCTCATGTGAAGGGAGTGCATGAGATTTTCATAAATCAGACATCATGTTTGTACAATTTCCCTAGAACTGTTTCCTTTGCAAAACAGAACACAGTAAGTGACTAATGAAGAGGTAGTCCAATCTCTGCTCGTGCTTATTGAAGGCTGGGAACTGCCATGATCCTTCTTAGGTTATCCTCTGGTTTACTATACTGCATGGCTGTTGCTTCCAAGGGCATCATCTCAAACTTTTTCACCCTCAGTCTGTGTTTATAATGTTTGTAACGGCTTCCCAGCAGCTTCCTCTGGGAAGGCTTCTCATTTTGTTCATCTGTGCTTCTTTTTTTCTCAGAGCTTATTACAGAATAAATCTTCACTTGGATAACATTCCTATTCAGTAAGAAAGGAACTGGGAGGTAAGTATGCATTTCACAGCTTTGGTTTTACCAGGCTGCGTGTGCTTTCCTTCAGGTCTTCTCGTGGGAACTCTAGATGCAGTATTGGATTCTACATCAAAAGTGGCCCCATTTCGCATCCTGCATCAGACACCGGACTCACAGGTCTACTGGTCCATTGCATGTGGTATGTACTGTTCTTTTAGAAGCTAAGTGAGTTTATAAAATGAAAAGTTGGGATGCAAAGGATGGGCTGAATCTTATGGTTGGGTTCATCCTCTCACATCATTCATTCCAGTGATCTTCACATGGTTGAAAATTATTTGATAATCACACAGAATCACAGAATGGCCAGGGTTGGAAGGGACCTCAAGGATCATGAATCTCCAATCCCCTGCCACATGCAGGGCCACCATCCTCCACATTTCATATCAGCCCAGGCTGCCCAGGGCCCCATATATAGTGATGCTCAGGATATTTCAGTCCTGAGATTGACAGTGGTTTATGGTTCCAGTTTTTCAGAATATACCTATGGACCCTTCATATGATAAGGTCAGCTTGCCTGTTTTTTTGCAGCAGTCTGTATAGTACTAAGGAACTGCCTTGATGCTCTCTTAGAATTGAAGGGGCACAATCTTTTATTTTCTAAGTTGCAAAGGAGGTCTGTAATTTGGCATAGTTTAGGATAATATGGAATAGTTGACCGTTGAGGGGATTAAGTATAAAAGCTATAGGTATAAATAGCAGGAATTGCTTATCTGATTTTTATTTTTCTACTTTATCTTTGTTAAGAATGAGCCAACCTTCATGTCATGATAGCAGCTGAATTCTTCCTCATATCTGTTGGTCTTAGGGTGTAAGAGGTTCTTTCTCGTTTGCGTGTTATGTTATTAGTAGCAAATGGAAAAGAAAATTGACCTTGAAAGTGGAGTACGTGGCTTTTCCTAAAGCATTGTTATTACTAGGTTGATTTTGTTGTTGTTATTATTTGTTTTTAAATTCTGCAGCTTCCCCTGAGAAATAAGTGTAAATTCCCTTACACACACTGCTGGAATATCAAGTATTCAGAGAGACCTCCATTTCAAAAGTTGAGAGAACTCAGTTCTTTGCATGCATCACTGTTTTTTCTTCTTCAGCATGATCTTGCCTTTATGTTGAAACTAAGATAGTCACGTGGTCAGATGACAAATGTAACTGTTGTAGGATTAATCCATTTCTTAGGCTTATTAAAAACTGTGAAAAAGTCTATAATTACACTTAAAAGAACCCACATTTTAGTTCATTTTTTCCGTGCTTTAAGTTTTTTTAGTTAGTTGTGTTCTGTACAGAAGTGAAAAACCCAATCTCTATCTAGACTTCTCTGGTCTCACAGGCATCCAGACCTGTGGTAAAAGATGAGTTTTGAAGGAAAATTAGAGGTGCCACTCTGCAAAAGTTTATGTGATAGAAGGAATCATAAAGTGATGGAATGACTTGGGTTGGAAGGGACCATAAAGATCATCTAGTCCCAATGCCTTGCTGTGGGCAGGATTGACAACCACTAAATCAGGAATCAAATTAGGGCCCAGGGCCCATCCAACCTGACCTTCCATGTCTTCAGGAGCGGGGAATCCACAAATTCTCTGGGCAATGTCTTCCACTGCCTCACCAGCCTCTGAGTGATAATTTTCCGCAGTCATCTAACCTAAGTCTCCCCTCTCTTAGATTAAAACTACTCCCCCTTGTCCTGTCACGATCGGACTGCATAAAAAGTCAGTCTCCCTCCTGTCTATAAGCTCCTTTGAAGTACTGGTAAGCTATGATGAGATCTCTCCAGAGCTTCCTCTTCTCCAGCCTGAAGAAGCCCAGCTCCCTCAGCCTGAATAATTCTACCAGTAAATGCAGTGCTCTTGTTGCATTAAATTGTACTGTTTTCTTTATAAACCTTCATTATTCACCTTAAATAAGCAATTGTGCCTTTTCCTGTTTGTTAAAATTAAATTAGCCACTGCATAAATTCTGATGTTTCCTTTTCAATGTTTGGCTCGATTGTTTCTGCATTTCATGCTGCAGTGCTGATCGGCTCGTACTCGTGTTCTTCAAGGGCTCATCTGAGGAGCAGTAGTCAGCAAGAGAATTGTTAAATGACTTAATGTAGTTCATAATGTCTCACTTCGAAAGGGCAGCCTTATAAATGAAATACAATTTGAATGGTTCGTGCATTGGCTGTAAATAAAATTTGGAGACTTCTTCCAGTGAGGTCAGAACAAATGGTGTCAGGCTGTTAAGAAAGGTGCTTTGATAAATGAGTTGGAAGTGCACTCTGGGGGATTCTAACGGCATCCGGTAAGCTCCTGAGAAAACATGAAAGGTAATCTTCACCCTAGGACTGAATTTTTGCCAGTTCTGTGCTACTTAAGTACACTTTAGAACAAAAGGCTTCACGGTGTAAATATACTTCGTGTTATGAAACACATTGTTCCTTCTGTGAAGTGAATAAATGGAGGAGGAGATTGCTTTCCTTCCTGCTTCCACACAGTGAGGGTCTGAAACAGTACTGCTGAATTGTTTAAATGTTTAGAAATAGTTTCATCTTCATTGTGCCACATCTGTGCCTTTGCTTCTTAGAGTGACTCAAATAATTGCTCTGAATATGTAGTCGAAGAGGGAGAATTCGTTTTGATTTCATTGCTTCGTTAATTACTCTGTCATTTTTCAAGTGTCATTGCAAATCCAGCATGTGTAGCACAGCCTAACTAACAGTATTTAGATCGATTTCTGTTTATTCCCTTAAGGCAGCCTTAATTCTGTGGAGTCCACTGAAAGTTGTTCATATAGTCTTTACAAAGTAGATTGAAAAAACAGAAATTGTGCATGGTGTCTTGTTGCCTGGGGGTAGTGACAGTATGTGATTGTAGACTGTTTAGTTGTGAGCATTCCTGGGAAGGATATAACAACCAACTCACGTATGTTCTAAAATCCTTTTATTGAATCCTATGTAAATTCTTCCCCTCCGTTTCCTTCTCTCTGTATCCCCCCATCTGATGGAGTGGAAAGAATCACCTGTCTTTAAGGAGTTGAATTTTCTAGGCCTCTTCTGTTGGTTCACTAGTATAAGCTCTGCTTTTTTACCTGTTTCCACCTGCGTGGAAAGCGAGTATGTGAAAAGAGTAAGATGAATTATCATAACCATTTCACAGCTTGTATCTAGCAGTAAGAGTTTTCCCTTCTATTTGAAGCAAGCCACTAATCTGTTTCTAAGTAGTTTAGGTGAGATAGTTGGTGGTTTTTTTTGCTGTAAAATCACAGTGACATTCACAGTGAAGTAAGTGATTGCCTTCTGAAACCTAGAAAAAAAGCCCTGTCAAGTGAGTAAAGTAACATAATGAGGTCGTCTTTTCTCTAAGCTATTTGCAAGTGCCATATTTACATTCTGGGAGCATTGAATTTTGTCTTGTCTCTATGTTTTGCATGTTCCTTATGGCTAGTGATGGCAGATTTTTAAGTTACTCCTCTGGCTTGTATGTAACGAAAGAGGAGGAGGCATTCCTTAATTCCTTAGCACTGCAGTCCCATAGGGTTCAGAAGAAAAACGGTACTAATTCTGGAGGTGCCAGATGCTGCTTCTGGGGTCATTCAGCTGGTATGAATGAGCCTTTTGTCCTGGCGCAGGAGGTCTGGGGTATATGGCTTTCGATCTAGGGCACAGCTCTGCTTCTGTCCTCTTTTAGAACCCTCTAACTGCAGGAAAACATTGCATTGTTTGGAATTAGAATGTAAGCAGAACTTTACTATATAGATGGAATGACAGCTGTTTCCTGAATGGTGCTTGGCTTAGCACCATTAGTGCTTAGTGTGATTAGAAATCTAATTAAAATGTGACTTGACAGAGAATGTGATAAAACAATGACTTGTACTGAGCATAAGCAAATGTTTGTGGTAGGCAGCAGAAATGGTTGTTTTATGTATCCAAAGAGAGAAAAATCTTTGCTACCATCCTGGCCATGGAGGTGCGTATGGTGATACAACCTTACCCTTGGGAGGAGTGTTTGTGCACCAGTGCAAATCCGAGGCTGGCAGTTCTCCTGTGGGAACTGCTGTGGCTTTGTGATCAAAGCTGAGTGTATCAAAAGCTCATGTTTATTTTCTGATAAGTTTCTGAATGTGATCTCGTGTTTCCCACCTTCGAGGGGAGCGTCCTACGTACTAACATGGGTGTGTGCTGGGGATGCTGGTGATGCTGGTGATGCTGGTGAGCCAGAGGAACTGTCAGTCCCAGTCTGGCTTCAGCACTGAGCCACAAAATCTTGACAAAGCTGGAATGCTTCTAGGGGTAATGGCTAGAAGTACAGCTGCGTAAAGAGCCTGAAAGATAAAAACACAGCAGTGTCATTACTGTGATTTGGATTTGTGGATGTAAATTACTCTGTGAACCTGAAATTTGCTGAATATTCTCTTGATTAATGTTTTTAATGAAGTAATTAAAGTCACTTCTATCTTTCTACTTTCCATCAGGAGCCAGCAGAGAAGAGATAACAGAACATTGGGACTGGTTGGAACACAATGTCATGAACATTTTATCGGTGTTTGATTCAAATGAAGATATTACAAGCTTTGTCCAGGGAAAGATAAGAGTAAGTAGAAGGCACATGACACAATTGAGAAAGGCTGAGTATTTTTACTTCTAAATGTACACAAATATTATGTTCCATGCAGACAGCACCACGATATTGTGTACTTCTGAGTGAATAATACGCTCCATTGTTACTGTTTATCTGCCACATAGTTAAATAAAGTTGTTCGACACAAATTATGTCTTGGTAAATGGTACACCACGTGCCTTTAGATAGTGGTCTGGAACTGATAACAAATTATCTCACAATAGTTTTGAGAACCCCTAGGAAGTATATGAGAGTTCATTTTGCAATTACTAAACATTTAGCCCTGAAGTTCATGTGATTAAGTGAGGAAAATAGATTGTTTTCAGATAAGGAAACCTGAAGATGTGTGTCATGCCAAAGCTGTTTGAATCTGAAGTGGCACGTGTGAGCTGTAACCTTGTGTTTTGATCCTCAGACTGTTCTTCAAGTTGTAAAATACAATATCCTGTAAGGAGAATACTCCTTTGTATGTGTGCAGTTTTTTATAAGACATCCACGTTTATGGATACGTATGTGAAACAACTGTTCTCTTGTTTTAGGGTTTGATTGCTGAGGAAGGAAAAGGTTCTTTTACAAAAGAAGAAGATCCCGAGAAGTTTCGTGAAGGTCTTATGAAGTTTGAGAGGTGCTTTGGATTACCAGAGCAGGAGAAGTTGGTTACCTATTACTCATGCAGCTACTGGAAGGGCCGGGTGCCTTGTCAAGGGTGGCTTTATCTTAGTACCAACTTCCTGAGCTTTTACTCATTTTTGCTGGGAGCAGAAAGTAAGTAAGGCCTAAGCTAAGGCTGGTCCTTTCATGTTTTACTGTATATGTTTCACATGTGGAAGCATTTTTCTTATGTCATGAGGAAGTGATTTGCCATGTGAGCAGGTGTCTAATTGATAATTGTTAAAGTAGAGTAGCTTACGTGAGTCTGTTAGTTTGCAATTTGCATTTTCATATTAGAGCAAAAAAAAGGAAAAAAAAAAAAACAACAAAAAAAAGACAGTCCAGACTTGTATTTTCAGAAATGGTGTGTCTTTAATGTTCATTCTATAAAAATCATTCTAGTGGAATTATTTGATAGGAATTGTGGAGAGAGTCTTTTTTTTGTCCATGTGAATTTGTAGCCATTTCCAAAGGAGTTGTGATCTAACAGTATTGTTTAATTATACTTTCTAGTGCTGCTGCTTTTTTGATTAATACAAGGGTAGCAGCTGAAGAGGAGTTACTCATATCTCCTTATATTTGTATTTTCAGTAAAGCTTATTATCTCCTGGGATGCAATATCAAAACTTGAGAAGACTTCCAATGTTATTCTGACAGAGAGCATTCACGTCTGCTCCCATGGGGAAGATCACTATTTTTCCATGTTTTTGCACATTAATGAAACATTCCTTCTCATGGAGCAGCTGGCAAACTATGCTGTTAGGAGGCTTTTTGATAAGGAGACATTTGAAAATGACCTAGTCCTGTATGACCCCCTGCAGATCACCAAGAGGTAACTGCTTATAATCCATCAGTTCTGGACTCAGTCATTTTTAGACAAAGGGGAGGAAAATTCTTGTGTGAGGGAGATCACTAAACGTTGGCAAAGATGGTGTTCTCTTAAGTAACTATCTTGTTAAAGTTTGGAATCAAAGGCTTGCATGACATTGTGACCTCTTATTACTTTGCAGTATCAAAGGCTGTATGAAGGCAGGAAGTGATCAAACCTTCAGAACTGGGCTTCAATTATAATTTATAGTAGTTTGTATTTTTAAAAGCTGTTTTAGCAGTGTTTGGGAATAGGAAATCAAGAATGGAGCTTCAGAGTCTACAAAGAAGCTCAGTGAGAAGGAGAAGAATAAATGGTTTAAAATACATATGTATGTAACTGCATGGCTTTTCTGTACTGGAGACAGGTGATAAAGTCAGTGAGCTGCAGGTTTTCCTTGTTTCTGGCCATGTTTTAGGAAGGGAGATAGATGTGTGCATAAATAAACAGATGGTTGGAGTCCTTCCTTCTCAAGGAAAGTGTGATTATTTCTTGTAATAAACTTATGATTTATTTCTAGTTTCAGTTGATGTGAATGTTGCCCTCTCCTTGAGGAGCAATCCGAATTCCCACTTAAATTGTGAGGTTTTGATTGGCTACTTACTGTGAAAAGTAACCAGGAAACCAAGGCTACAGTTGGGTAATTTTAATTAACTAAGTCTGTGTTGGAAAATATTACCTGTGCAAAGAGGAAAGTACGAGAAAGCATCTTCCTGTACATTTCAGCCTTAGCCTGGCTTCCAGTAGCTCCGTTTAATTTGTTCCTAGTTAAAGCCAACTATGCAACAGATCAATAAAAAAAAAAAAGTCAAGAAGTCAAATTGTTCTTTCCTTGTATAGAACACTAACAACAAAGCCAGGTTTGGGTTGAATTTCGTAGATAATTGGGGTATTTTGATGGGTTGGAAAGCACAGCAGACTAGGCTAATAGTGTATATTTCTTTTCCTCTCCCTTTAGACCCTGATTCAGCAAAGTGCTTTGCTGTGCAAGAATGTGTCTGAATTTATTCCTATTTACTGAAGCATTGCAGTGTTTTGTTTAGTGGGTGTGTACTGGTCTGCTGCTGCACTTTGTTACCTCTTCAAGCAAAATGCTGAACCTTCCAATTGACACTGTAGTGGAATTGAGAGTGCATGATATTTTACTGTTTCAAGAAGCCTTTCCACAAGACATTGCAACCTTTGTATTTTTCAGGATATTTAAAAAATATTCCATTTTTCTCTTCTGTCTCCTCCCTGATTTTCTGCTTTGTTTGCTTTTTAATCCAGAGGCCTGGAGAGCCGAGCCCACAGCCAGCAGTTCAGTGCATTCTTCAGGCTACCCAAAGAAGAGACTTTGAAGGAAGTTCACGAGTGCTTCTTATGGGTTCCTTTCACTCATTACAATGCCCATGGGAAAATGTGCATTTCAGAAAACTACATTTGCTTTGCTAGCCAGGATGGCAGCCTGTGCAGTGTAATCATTCCATTAAGAGAGGTAATGCAAGCTACAGTCAGAGCCACTTATACCAGAAGATTTGCACTTGTGTAGCTTAGTGTCAGTTGATCAGATTTTCCTTTAAAATAACCTTAGTTTATGTGATGTCATGATTTCCCTCTACTTTTGATGCTGCTTGTAGTAATACTGCTTACAGAGCTACTTCCATGTTTCTACACTGTCCCCTGTGTCATTTTTGCCATTTCCGTTTACTCTCATTTTTGTAGCTGGGTACAGAATCCAATTTTTCAAATAATGCATCTATTAAAAAAAATAGTAAAAATTAAAAAAAGCTTACTTTTTGAGGTTGAGTTAATGTAAGATTCTTGAGATAAAAATGACTGGAAAAGTTAGAGGATCTTGAAGATAGTTGTTCTGCTGTGTTTCTTCCTTAGCTCTGTAGTGCCATTCATCTTTTTGCAGTAGTTGAGAAGTGCTGTCTGTTCAAACATCTGTAGGAAAATCCATTGACATTCTTCAGTGAACAAATACCAGCACCAGCTGGTAGTCTGAACAAACTGAACAAGGATTGTATTATGAAGGACAGCTTTCCTAGTTCTGTATGTTCTACAGATAGACTGTGGAATCATATCTAAGAAAAAAAAAAGCCTTCTCCATCTCCCTGATTTCGTGTGGTCTGTGACATTGCCACATTTCTGCTGTTAGAGATTTTTTAAGGTTTTTTTTGGAGATTTTTCAGCAGCATCCAGATATGTGCTACAATTAACCAGTCTGTAAACAGTCTTGCTAACAATGTCAACATCCATATGTTGTGGGGGGGAAAAAAAAAGAGTCTGTTAAAGGAGCTGACTAAATTATGTCCTTGTTGTTTGTCAGGCCCTCACTGTTTGTTCTGCAGTACCACAGAGTTCTTTCATTTAGTCTGTCTTCCTTTCCTTTTTTGTAACAATGTAAAAACATCAGCAGTGACAGCTGCTCTACACATTCATGATTATCTTACAGTTATGTGCATTATTAAGGTGTATTAACTACTCTTAACATGCAGCTCTTTCACAATAGCAATTAAAATCAGCTCCAGCCATCACATATTATGACAGCTGCAATTTGTTCTCGTGGAACTTGATTCGTTTCATTACTTGTCTGTCTTTTTGATGGCAGGAAAAAAGTAACAGCTCCAGCAGGTCGGAGGCGGCAAGATTTTCAAGCATGCTCCATGCTTTCTGCTGAGAAAAACCTTTTCAGAGATGTTCAGTACCTGGTAGAAAGCCTGTGGCATGACACTGCCATGTATTGAAACAGCTCCAGACCTCTAAGCTGTAACATAGCCAGTTCATTACTTACATTACTTATTCTGTTTGTGTGGTGCTTCCTACTGCTGTTCCATGTACGTGTGTATTTTTAATAGCTTTTTCTTTTGGAAACAAGGTGGTAAAATGTATTGGGATGGCTTGCCTCGTTAATGCAGCCTTGTCTCCCTAGGTGATAGGTGTGGATAAGGCTGACCCAGCCAACAGAGGAGTCAACATTAGTACCAAAGGAAAAAGAGCTTTTCGTTTCACTGAAGTTAGAGATTTTGAACAGCTTGTCACAAAGCTCAGAATCAAATGCAATGCAACTTCAAGTCCACAGCATATAAATACAGAGGTAAGTCTTCAACCAACTCTAGTTTCTCATTAGCTACTCTTAGAAATAAGTTTGTCTAGTCTCACTAAGAATTTAATGTATAGTTACCTGTGTTCTTGATGCCATGCACTATTTAAGTCTGAATCTAGACAGAGAGAGGGTCTGCTGCACCTCTAGATTACAAGTTGTCTCTTTTTCTGTTTTTTAAATCGTGTTCCCATTTCTTGCCTTCAGCCCCTTTACTTTAAAACTGAAGCCCATCAGTCTGACAGAAAGTTATGTTTCACTGTGCCTTTTTTTCGTTCAGCTGACTATTTGACTCAGAAAGGGGATGGAATAATTACAAGGTTACTTCTGGATGTGAAGAAATCTGTACTTAGTTTAATGCATGAGAAATAAGAAAACACGACCAGGCAGCCCTAAAAAGCATTACTTATTAGAGCTCCTGTATCTCTTCTCAGAAGATTTTCTATTGAGAAAATTAGAATCAGCTGGAGCAGCATCAAGAATGACAGTTGTGTGTACAAGTGTACAACTGAATGCCTTTTGGTAGAAATCAATCAGTGTATCAGACTGAATATCAGTGTGTCTCGGTGTTCAGATTGTGCTTCTTAAAAGATACAAATGAATAATAAAAACAAGACAGTTTGATATCAGCAGAAATGCTCAGTTGGCAAGTGTACAGCACAGCCCTGGGAGAGCTGAGAGTTAAAGTCTGCTTCTCGAGGGAATTCCCAATTTGAACACCCTCTTTTGGGTAGTATCTGCATTGTTTTGGCCTAGCACACTAAGTTCTGTAGCTCTGGGTTTAAGGTGTGGAAAAATAAGTATTTCAATGCCCATGAGTAAGAGAGCATGTGAACAATGATGTTGTTGTTAAATGCATTATTTTTTGGGTTCTCTTATATTGTTTCCATCAGGTTTTGAAAAGCATCCAGGTTCTAGTGCCGTTTTCAAAATGCTCCCAGCATTTCTGTGTAGTTCTGTATGTGGCTCCATTGAAATTAATGGTGTTCTTTTGACTTGGTTGATGATCAGGTCTCTGCCTATTACTGTTTTTCGTAATTAATAGTTGTCCTTTCATCGTTAAGTTTTTGGTTGTAGAGATGAATTTTACAAGAGTAGCCTCTTGAAGCCTGCCTGTTCAGAATGGGGACTGCTTTCTGTTCATTTATTTTGGAAGTCTGTTTGTCCATCCAAGAATTGTATGCCAGTCTACATTTTAGTAAATCTGGTACCTGTAAACTAATCTGATAAACTAGGATAGTCTGGAAGCAAAATGGTTTCTGCTATGAGTGCTGCTTCTTGAAGGATTGTTTGGTGTTTATCACTACCATTGCTAATACCTATTTAATTATTTGTTAAGGTTGCAGGTAGTTCTGCTTCTGACAGTCCAAAGGATTTTGATGAGGTGCCATCAAAGATAGATCTGAAGGATAACACCAAAACTGTCAGTACAGAAGCCCTAATGACTGTCTACCATCCTCAGGATGCCGAGAATCTAGACCCTAAAATGGTAAGGGATAAATTGGCCAACAGTTTTTGGAATCTAACTGGAAAAGACTTAAGCACATTCAAAACATACTCCAGCAAGGCTGCTGGATTCCTCTGCAGCTTTGCCAGTCTTCTTTCATCTCCATGTCCAGTATTTTCCACAAGGTTCTTCATGGCTCTATTCAATTTTCTGCTCAACTTGTTTAATAACGATGTGCCTCATCTTCCTAGATCTAATTCCTCCTGCTCTTCCAGCCCCTCAGGGAAGAACTGGCTGTTTCTTTTGAGATAGTGAACATGTTTCAGATCTGTCTGAATTGTCAAGGTACAAAGTCACTACAAACTTTTCAGGAACAAGGGGAATGTTATCAGGAAACTTGATTGATTTCTTAATTGCTTCATTCTTTTATGCATCCATCTATCAAAATTACACACTCAATGTATTTTTTTTTTAATTTTTTTTTTTTTTCAGTAAGATGTACTATTTTTGCTTCTCCATGGTGTGTACAAGAGGACAGAAGAGTTTCATTTTAAAATTAGCCTTTCAGCAAAATTAGACAAATATTCAGATGTGGAACTTACGATATTAGAAATATCAGAAAATAATTTAGAATTATATATAATTAGAATATCAGAAAATAAGCACTCCTTTAGTAGGAATAAAAGGAAAACATTTTAAAATTCTACTTTTTATAGTCCAGAGGAAAAAAGTGGCAAAATTTACTTTTCCTTTCTGCATCTTGCCTTTAATTGCTTTAACAATATTAAATATCACTGCTGCAAGGGTAGAAAATACAGAGTGTCTGAGCACCGGAGTCTCTCGTGGGCTGCAACCACTGATGATCAGTTGTTTTACATTAGATTAATTGAATTGCTCTTTTGGAGCACACTCAGTGGTTATTAGAAATGTTGTACCTTACAAAGGACCTGTTCACTGCTGCCACTTTTTCCACAAGTAAAATGTTGTAACTTCAGTTACGTTTAAAGAAGAAATTTTTGCCAGCTCTTCCTCTGCAGGAGGTTTCACTGACATGGCTGGTGCTGTTGATGTTCAGATGCATACACAGTTGTCTTGCGTGTTGATGGTAATTGCTGGCTTGCCAAGTGTTCTCTCTGGTTGATAAATATTTGATTAAATGTGAAACCAATCTGGGTGTGTTTTCAGTGATCAGTTCCCCTTCTTAGTCCACTCGACTTCCTTCTTTTGCAAATTCCCGATTTACTGCTTCTTTCCCATTGCTACTTGGAGCCTGTGTTAAATAAAAACAGAGGAGAGATTTAGAAGCAGTGGCAAAACAATGGCACTGATGTCATGTCAACGCTGTGTGCTTTGCACCGTTTGTACCCACCCTGTTCCAAATCTGTCAACTGATGTAATGCAATAAAGCGTGATGAGCCAGAAAGGAAGGAGAACAGCCTGCCTTCGCTGTTGAGTTTCTGTGGGATATTATCTTGTCTGTATCAGAGTTAATGCATTTTCATTGCTGTTAGCAAAGAACAATTCGAAGGCACATTGAAATTGCAGAATGTTGATTTATCTGAATAATTAAACAGATATCTGTAACAGTATGATTTGACTATGCAAGTAATCTCTTGCTTTATTGCACTGCATCATCATGGCCAAATGCTTGTTTGTTAGAGTTTGCAGACTAGTGCAGAGAAAACTGGAGCCACACAGAAGCAATCTGAAGCTTCCTCCTATTTTTCTTGGTTTTCTTTTCTACTGCTTATACTCAATTTCATCTTTTTTCCTTCTGTTAATTTACTGTTTACCAAGAAAATGTACCAGGAAGCAAAAATAAGAGTACCTTAAAATTGACCCAAGTTACGATCAGATTTTTATGTGTATGTATCATATAAACGTGTATTTATGTGTAAATAGCTGACAAAGAACCTTAACAAGTGCCTCTAGTTTTTTTTTTGCCACAGGAATTATATTAATTCCTTATAAAATGAATTCATTATAAAATGATGAATTTTGCTCCCCCATTATGTGTTTTTGGAATGTATCAGAACTATGATGGTAGAATTTATCTGTGTAACTTCACTGTCCTGTCCATCTAGTCCAACAACCCCCCTGCTGAAGCGAGTTCCCTCCAGTAGGCTCTGATCTGCATCAGTGTTTGTTTCAGATAGCAGTACTGATACCGGCGCTGCCATTTACAGTTTACATGAATATAACTGAGAGAAAAATAGAGTCTTGTATTCTGAAACATGAAAAAAACCTTCCAGTATACATAATAGTCTTCTTCTTTTTTTTAATTTTTGTAGTTGAAAGAAAAAATGAAAGAACAGTCCTGGAATATCCTTTTTTTTGAACGAGGTCATGGTGTCAGCATGTTTCGAACAAAGAAGACTCGAGATTTAGTTGTAAGAGGGATCCCAGAGGCCTTAAGAGGAGAGCTCTGGCTGCTCTTCTCAGGTACTGCATGGCAAGTACAATGCATTCATTTTGTGGACTATATTATGTGGATGTTCTTGTTACTGGCTGACCATGGTCTGAGAAAAAAAAAAAAAAGCTTTTTCCTGTGGCAATTTATCTAAACCTTTCTGAAGGAAGAGCCTTTAAAGCACATCCAGCATTGATTCAAACTAAACCTGTGTCATCATCTTCTGCAACAAACTCAGCTAAAAGATAATGACTGTATGCTCTATTTGTGAACTTCAAGGGAACAGTCAGTTTCTGCAGTGCCTCTACTTGCTAAAAAGCAATGTGTGTTTATGGGCCTGTTTTTCAATTGTTTGGATTGAAGCTTTCTGGGAGGATGATGTTCCCAGACCAAAAGAAAAACGTTTTCCTAGAACAGAATTTGGCTCCAGTGTTGGTAGCTGTTTGTTAGACACTGTTGCTTGGTTTAGAGAGTGAAAGATACTGGAATTATGGACTTTCATACACGTAGGGAATCTCTAGCCAGAGCTCTGAGTATACTTTTGTGAGTTTCTGCTGTAGAACATACCTGTGAAAGAGCAGAGGTGAAAGGAAGTTTGTTTCTTTTTTCCCCCTAATGAAACAGGAAAAAAAGTCAAAGTCAACTTTGTGATGGAAGGTAACTTTCCTCCAAGCCTTGTTTTCTGTTTTTATTTCAGAAGAATGCCATTAATTTCAGTAGAATTACTCTGGTATGTTACACAAAGAAGATGGAGGTATCTCAAAAGTCAGCAGAGTTTTTTTTACAGATTGCAGAAAATGGCATAGATGCCTTAGTATTGTCCTCTAATGCTGTTCAGTAATACTTATTGTCAGGTGCTGTCAACGACATGGCCTCCAGCCCTGGTTATTACACTGAGTTGGTGGAGAGGTCCTTGGGAACATGCACTTTAGCTACTGATGAAATCGAACGGGATCTGCGTCGCTCCTTACCTGAGCATCCTGCTTTTCAAAGCGACACAGGAATCTCTGCCCTCCGGAGAGTTCTTACAGCTTATGCATACAGGAATCCTCAGATTGGATACTGTCAGGTATTGTAGTTTTGAGAGCCTCAACATGAGTTCATCATGGCAGTACAGTGCATCTCATGAAATCAATCACAGAAATACCTAACGGTTTATTTTTGTTCCTGTGCATTACTTACTTCATCCCAGCATGTCACGTGTGCTTTTGTGTTGTACTTGAATTTGTTGTTAAACACTGCTATCTCCATTGCACTTGTGCCTGCATTTCTACTAGACTTTTAAAACTTAATAACGTTTTTATGTAGTTTAAATACTATGCTCTGAATATGAATGTTGAATCCTTATACCTAATAGGGCTGCAGGTTATCCTAGAACTCTAAACACGTGATGTAAAAGGCCTTCAGAAATATAACTTTAACAAATGATGATACAGTTGGGATTTCACCCTCTTTCCTCATACACATTTCCTTTCTTCTTTAAATGTTTACAGGCAATGAACATACTGACATCAGTACTTCTGCTGTATGCTAAGGAGGAGGAAGCGTTCTGGCTGCTGGTTGCTGTCTGTGAAAGGATGCTACCTGATTATTTCAATCGTCGAATCATTGGTAACATCAGTCTGCCTTGTAATCTATCTAGAGCTCAATATGATGATCAGTCCTTGAGAACAGATGTAAGGAGTGAGCTGGAACCTAACTAGTCCAGAGAAACTGTGGTCCTTGGTTCAGTATTGTAAAGCAGAAAATGGGAAGAGACAGAGAACATCCCAAGGCCCTTCTTAAGAGAGAGCAGATGTGATTTTTCAAATATTGTTGTTATCCTAGGGATAACTACTCCAGAAATATTTTCTTAGACTATTACACAGTTCTATTGCAATTATAGCTGCAATTCGTGCCATCTATTGGAACTTAGCCAGCTGAAATAAAAGAAACTGAGTGTTCCAGAAGCAGACTTAGCCTAGTACTAAAGCTTGCAGATATATATATGCTAGAAGAAAATTGCTTGTGAGGTTTCTCTCTCATTGCAGAGAGGATGCATCGGCTGACAGGGGAATCAGTGGCAGTAGCCATGCACATGCAGGAGTGCCAGCACACTTTACGGAATGCAGAAGTCCATGTGTAGAGTGCATAGCTTCCATCACAGGGAATGGAGACAGTGGTGCTGTGCAGCTAGGTCTGTGCTTGCTTTTACAACAAATTGCATTTGGATAGGAGCTTGATTTCTGGCTAGTGAGAAAAATACACTTCTCTTTATTAAGATATGGGTGGTGGTTTTGTTATCCTCTCCCTGCAGGTGCCTTGGTAGATCAGGCAGTGTTTGAGGAGCTCATCAGAGTTCATCTGCCTCAGTTGACAGACCACATGATGGGCATGACTTTTTTCTCCTCGGTCTCTCTCTCCTGGTTCCTTACCCTTTTTATCAGTGTGCTGCCTATTGAAAGTGCAGTCAATGTGGTGGACTGTTTCTTCTATGATGGAATAAAGGCAATCTTGCAGCTGGGACTTGCAGTGCTGGAGTACAACATGGATAAGTTGCTGACTTGTAAGGATGATGCAGAAGCAGTGACTGTTCTCAACAGGTATCGGTGCATGTCTTGTTCTTAAAGACAGCGTAGCAGCTGCTGTAAGTGCAAATAGAAGTGTCATGGGGCAGTGGGGACACATCTGGCCAAGAATTCTGAAGGCTTCAGAGTAACTAAATGCCTGTCTTGGGTTGAAATTCTGGAAGGGATGGTTGGGAAATATGCCTCAGTACTCTGAAAAGCCCATCCTCCTTTAAAGTTCTGCTAGAACCACTGCGATTTCATGTGTTTTAAAGTAAAAACTGTTTTTATTATTATTTTTAACTAAAAGATGACTTTTGATGATAACCAGCTAGTCTAGAGAACACTAAGACTGTTCCAAACAGTTCAGACTGTTTGGTTCAGGCACTTGGTAAAAAAAAAATATACTGCAGCTCAGTTCTTGTAGTTTTGGCTGCTGGCTCCTTTGCTGCTAATGGTTGAAAATAGGGGGAAAAAAATAATGATATTGAGGACAGTTCTGACCAGATAGCTATTCTATATTACAAAGAAAAATTCAGATCAAGTGCATTCTTAATTGATGCATTACTTGCACGGTTTTTGCTTGACTAGCTGCCTAAATAGTGCTGTTGCTGCTCCTGTGATTGTGTGTCAGGGAGTGTTAAAACAGAAACACTGTGCTGAGACTCTGCTCTGAGTCATGAGTTGTAATTGTTATGCAGTGATAATAAGAATTTCCCTTTAGCCAGATTTGTAAACGTTGTATGTTTGGATGGGGTAGGAACTATGGAATTACTGAGGAAAATGTGTTTTCATTTTAAGACACCATGCAGCCTGGTGCTGATTTTAAAACATAACTGTGCTTGTTTAAAGTTTAGGCACTTAAAAGCAACAGCAGTAAGAGCACATTCACTCAGTTTTTTGATTTATTAAATTATAAAATCTAAAAGCAGAGTGAAGTCTTGTTTCACTTCAACCAAGTAAACTGCCACTTCCACTTGCCACCTAGTATGCTGGTGATTGTTGTGAACTTCTGTTGAACTTTGACTTTCAGCATTTTACTTGGCTGCAACACTTCCGTTGCACAGTGAATCCAGCCTGCAGCATTCTGGTGTATTTATAAAATGATGGCAGTGGTTTGTGTCACCTCCAGAAAAAGGAAGCTGTCACTCCATAGAGTGACACAGATAGACATTTGTTTCTCAGTGCTGGCCAAAGAATTGGCTGACCTCCATGTTGGAGCTGTTTAGCCTGGTTATGTAGGTGTGATGGATAGTACAGATCAGGCATGTCTTGGCTTATGTATCCGAGGGAATTAAGACTGCCTGGGTCACAGTTCAGCACAAGGCTCCACTCCTCTGCCCTAGTTATGTAGCACACTGAGAACAACCAGGAGAAATTAAGTGGAGGGGACTCTGGAAGCCTCTGGTCCACCTTCCACCTGCAGAAAGGATTACTGTTAGCGCTGGGTCACATCAGCTGTGCTACTGTCTAGCTGTGTCTTGAAAATTTCAAGGCTATACAGCCTTCTCTGGGTTGTGGGTTCCTGTGTTTGCTATCTGTACTACTGTTACATCAGATTTGTGCTGTTCATGCTGATATTCTTTGCTACTTTTGCACATTGGTGTTGATTTGCTATTTATGCTCATGTTTTTTTGGTAGATGCTGACGTTACCATTTTGTTGTGATAATCTGCTTCCTGCTGATTTCTCATGTGTTTGCTTCACGCAGGTTTTTTGACAGCGTCACCAACAAAGACAGTCCTTTGCCTCCAGCTGTGCAGCAGGGCTCCAACCTCAGTGATGCAAAGGGTGATCACCCAAAAGTGGACATTACTGACTTGATCCGAGAGTCAAATGAAGTATGTGTGCTTGTGGGTATGTTTTTGCACCCCACAGTGTTTATGTTGTGCAGGCTATGTTGTTCAAACTAGCGTAGGAAACCTCTCTAGAGTGGTAGGGATTATGGTGTGCATTTTGCTGAGGCTTGCTGACAACCATAAATGTTATAACATAGATTTGGTTTTGTATTTTTTGCTTCTTCTTCTTTAACTGCCTTAGAGTGTGCTTACTAGGCTGTCCTGAATGGAGTTCCCTGGACTCATCACAGGTCATGTATTGTCATCATTCAGTCTGACAGGAGTATGTCAGCTCAGTGACGAAGCACAGGAGAAACAGCAGTGGTGTTTGCTCGTTTGAGGCTGATTGCTTTCCGCTGCAGATGGTGGTAACATCTGACACAATGGCTGCTGCAGGAAACTGTACATAATTAGCTTAGTGCACTTGTTAAATGGATGTTTTGGGATGCCCTGGGTGAGGAGGATCAGTTAGGATCTTCTAGCATTTCCTTTCAGTATGCTGCTTTGATTCTTGCAGTGTCTAGCTTTGTAATACTGGGGAGGATATGGATCTAGCTTCTCCTGCTCGTTCTGTCCTCAGTTTTAGATCGGGGATTAATCCATTTGTAGGTAGGTTTCTCCTCCACCTAGAGTTCACTAAAGTGAACTTCAAGCCTGACAGCATATGCATTAGACTTTGTCTTCCCATACAGTGAACTGCAGTTTCTTTTCCTTCATCAGTCTTTTAAACACTTTCTTTTTTAAAATTGCACTGTTTATTGAGAATCTTGATGTGATTCTTTGCTCAGTTTCTGTGGTCTCCCTGTGCATCCACACTTGTATTTTGCTGCAGAAAAAGACAAAAAATACCTTAGATGTATCTAACAGCAGTCGATTTCATAGAACTGTATTTTTCTTCACAGAGATACGGAGATATTCGGTATGAAGATGTTGAGAGCATGCGCTGCAGAAACAGGCTTTATGTGATCCAGACATTAGAAGCTACAACCAAGCAGAATGTGGTGAGCGACTTGAAGAACAAAACCCTTTCTTCCTTTTTGGAAAATCTTAAAAACAGCTACAATTTCCAAAGCCAAATAAGTCATTAATAGGCTGAAATCCCTCTTGTCTGCAGGGTGTCTGTTAGCTGAGGTTTGGGTTGTGATGTTTTCAGTCTTTGAATCACAGCATGACCTTCTGCTCTCGTTACAAATGCCATAATCACATACAGCTTCTAAAAGCTGGCATAACTTAGACATTTTGCATCGATGGGAACAGGCTGCCCTATATTTCTTTCTGCTGTTCTTAAATTGCTCATGTGTTTCTCTTTGAGACGTAGTGCTACAGTAAGACAATTAATTACTTGCATTTTTTCTTGTGGAAGCCATCCCAAATGTCACCAAAGAGATTATTGCACTGCATTATTGTCAGCATTCACCAAGTATTGCTTCTTGTGTCTGTGATGTGTGTGGCTGTGTGGTAATGCATGCTTGGTGTGGCAGCTCTTCAGCTACCAGCATCGTTCTTTTATTTCAAGCTCCTGAATGAAGGTAGGGGTTGCAAGGTACTTCCCTCTGCTTTTTTCATTGCCTTATTTGCAGTAACTGCTAATGATAGTTGCCTACTTAGCAAGCAGTGCTTTCATCAGTAGTGGATGTGGCTTGTAGCTCAGTGTATATTGAGCTAAGCTGTTAACTGTTGTATTTCATTTCACAAAACATACCTCTTGTGAAGATGGATACTGGTCATGTTTGAATATCCTGTTGTGTTTTTTTTTTTCTTCATCATTTAAAAATGGGGATTCAGCTTCACAGGTAAGGGCTGAATGTGCATTTGTCCACTATAAAGAAAGCTGTGTTCATTATAAATAGTCTAACATTCAAATTGTATCTCTTGGGTTTCATAGAGTAAGCTCCATGTATGCAAATGATGCAGTTCCCTTTTTAGGGAGAAATTATTTTTCCCATTCATCTCCTTCTGATCACCCTCTACTTGCTTTTAAGAAGCAATTCTGTTCTTACTGCTGATTCTAACATGCCAAAACCTGGAATACTCAAACTGTTTTTATAATTTAAGTTCATGTCTCTCACATTTTGTGGGCTTATTCCAAAAAGAGACTACTCATTAATTTTTTTCTTAATTTCAGCTTCGTGTTGTGTCTCAGGATGTAAAATTCAGTCCTAATGATCTTGACGAGCTTTATGAATTATTCAAGGTAATATGCCATCTACATCACTTCTCAAACATCTGTCTTAATGGTGGACAAAATGAGTGTGGAATAGCTTTAAGGGAGGTGAAGGCTAGACTTGTCATATTTTTTACATGTCTGTTTAAAAGCAAATTACATAGTTGACTCCCCACTTCTTTAACCCAGATAAATAGTTGTTTCTGCATACAATCTAATATCTATAACCTTCCCTTTGCAGAGGGAACACTTTCTTTCCTGCTATTGGAATGTAAATAGTCCTGTTTTAGAACACCATGATGCCAGCCTGCCGTATCTGGAGCAGTATCGAATTGATTGCCAGCAATTCAGGGTTCTTTGCCATCTCCTGAGCCCCTGGTCGCACTGTGCAAACAGAGACTCCATTGCATTGTGGACATTCAGACTGATGGATGAGAACTGCCATGGCCTTATCAACTTCAAACAATTTTCCTGTGTGCTTGGTAGGAGAACAGCACATATGCATAGTACATTCACTAGGGAGCTCCATTTTGGAAGCAGTCCTGGGTGTTACTGCCTTTGTGCACACGTAGCGAGCTTAAGGAGCTTCTTATTTTAGGGTCAGATTATCTTGAATTGTACTGAAATAGCTAACAGAGAGCTTTACAAATTAGTAACTCCTCTGAAACATTAATCCTCTGGAGAGTAATCTCTTATTTGAAATTATATTTAAATCCAGCTTTACTATTAAAAAAAAATGGCATGAGCTTGTGGTTTTGGTAATCAGTGCTTCCTCACTCTGTAAGCCGTCTCATACACAGATCGTGCAGGACAACCTGTGCTTTATACCTCTGGGGAGCTGAAAGTTTTCAAAGTTGCTTCTCCGTTCCTTTCATCTTGTTTTCAAAGCTCAGGAGTAAAAATAGGAAAGGCAAATGCTGGGAAGACTTTGATGCTACGTTTCTTTGGTGCTGTGGTTTTATTTCAGTAAGTCGCAGGCATCCTGTGCTCTGTCCTTTCTTCTGTAACCTCAGTGTTAGCTTGTTACAGGTGTGTTGCGATCTAATTAGTGAGCATGCTTTTGTGTTTCACTGGGTATTCAGAAATACTTCATGGGATAGTGTGCTCAAATGTTGTCACGTTCTTTCCTCAGTGTAGGCAAACCCTAGGCGTAGTTGCAGCTGGTATTTCTTTAAGCTTCATCTCTAGTTGCACTCCATGTAGGATAGGACGTGTCCTGTTGCAGTGTCTGTGGATTGTGGTTGTGTAGGTAAGAGGGTCTTTTAAATCTTGGCCCAGCTGAATAGCCTGTTTTCCTCTTGTCTCAAACAGATACCATGTATAATGGAAGTTTCACTGACAAACTCAAGCTTCTTTTTAAGTTGCACATCCCTCCAGGTGAGTGAGAGGCTGCTCCTGGCATTTTTGTTTGGTTGGTTTTGTTTCTTTAGCTTTTCTTTCCTCTTGCAGTCAGTAGCTCTGGCTGCAGTACAGTCCTGTAGCTGTAATATTTTTTGCAGGGTAGTGTACACTTTGGGAAGTACTTACTACATTCAGACACCATTCCTGTTTTGTTCGTAGGGAAGATATATGAGTCTAAAGCTTTTGCTTTTTCTCCCTCCTTTGGCAATGCTTAGGAGTTCCAAAACCACTTTATTCAATTCTTTATTGCAGCTTTTACTGAAGTGGAATCTCTGAGCCCTTCCAGAGGCGTTGATCTTTCAAAAGAAGAACTGATCCACTTCAGTCAACTCAGTGGTAAGTGTGTGACTTCGCCTACAGAATATTGGAAGGATTCTGTTAATTATCTCGTTGTGAAAAATGGGGAGTTTTCTTCTGAAACCCTCTGAAATCTGGTTTGAATTCACGCGTTCCAGCAAATCATGTTACTGATAGCAAGAATCTTCTGCATAGATGTTCTGTAAATAGCTCTGTTGTCGTACAAAGCAGTGCAGAATTTGTGGGTAGCCATCTCTCTTCAGAGCAGTTTTCTTCTGTAGCAGCATGTGGCTTCATTATGAGCATCGTTTAGGGGCCATTTCATTGACAGCTGCATACAGAATAGTGATGCTCTGTCCTGAATGGGGTATGCCTGATGAAGGAATTCAAAGGCTGCACGTGTTTATTTGAAATAGAGGAATATCTTTGGTCAGCATTTTTCAGCATAGTAGGAAGCCTTTCTGTTACGACAGTTGTTGAAATGGTGACCATTGCAGTTTCATTGCATTCAAGAGATGATATTTCCTGCTTCAAGACATTTAATAATCAAGTATATGGTGACTCTGAGACTGGGTTTCAAAATTCTTTGTTTATATTTTAAATCCTGTCAGTTGAAAAAAAAAAAAGAAAAAATACGGGATTTAAATTTATGGAGTTGGAAAACTGTTTGGTTTTACATCTTTTTAAGAAAGACTCTGTTTGATGTTTAGAAACTATCCAAAAGTTTTATCCATAGCACGTTGGTCCTGTCCTCAGCACTGTTCAACGTGTGGAGCATAAAGCATTCTGGAGGTTATCTACTTGATATGGCTGATGGTGGCTTTTTGCTGTCTCCAGCCTTGTGGTAGCTTCTATTTTTTTTAGAAGGAATACAGATTTTGCCACATGGTTTCTTTGTGGGGAGGGTCTTTTGGGAGTCTTGCTCCCTAAGGAAAGAATTTTTGATAAAAGGAAGTGAAGTAGTGATCCTCCTTGCTCAAAGCAGTAACTTCTTTTTTTTTCTTCTAAACTCTAGTTTCATCTGCTGGGGATAGTCTTGAAAGTGATGCTTTGAAGAGCAGCCCAGAAAAAGGTAGAGAATCCTGGGGTCTTTTGTGGGGGCAGGGCTTGGAAAGTGCATGCTGACAAAGTACACTAATTCACATAATCTCCAGTGTAGTGCTGACATTATAGTGTTAAGTAAGTGTAGTCCTGTGGCGGTGGGAGCAAAGTAAACTCTGACCTTGGCCCCACAGCTCTGAAGGAATGACACGGGGGATGCGGTTGTTCTGCTCATTGTACCTTAGGGGAGCTCTCAGTTCTTGTTTGCTCACTTTATTTATTCATTTTTGTCAAATAGGGAAGGGCAAGGTTGATATTCAGGCCTATCTGAAGCAATGGCAAGATGAACTTCTTAAGAAAGAAGAAAGCATTAAGGATTTGCCAAGAATGAATCAGGTAAAACCATCTGTGTCGCAGTATGATGGGCCTGATTTTTCACTTCTGTGTTTCTTTTTAAGTTCTGTTAGTATTTTTCTAAAGGTTTCTTAGGATCCCTTAAATTCCAGACTACACATTAATGATGACACTGTTTGTTTTTTAAACTACTTTAACTGTAAGCTTACTGTAGACTGCACGAGGGGGGCTTACAGACACACACGTTTACCAGGGCCTGTGACTATGCTGCCAATAGAGCAGTTTTTGCAGCAGGTGCCCAGCAGCTGCAAGCACTGGGTTGAGATTGCAGTGCGTAGTGAAACAGGAGAGTTGTGTTGCTGTTCTCTGAATAGTCTCATCTGTGTATCTGTTCAGTCTCAGTTCATCCAGTTCTCAAAAACTCTGTACAATCTATTCCACGGAGATCCTGAGGAGGAGCTGTTGTACCGCGCCATAGCAGTGGTTACCAGTCTCCTGCTGAAGATGGAAGAAGTTGGGAGAAGGCTTCAGAGTCCCACATCACCAGTCAGAAGTCTGGCTGCCACAACAGAGGTGTCTGCTGAAAGCCCCCAGAAGGGGCGGGAGGAGGGCAGCTCTGAGCAGACCGGAGGCAGTGGAGCGCAGGGTCTGCGAAAGGGCCACGAATGGTCTTTTGCCTTTGAGCAGATTCTGGCATCCTTACTGAACGAGCCAGCCTTTGTGAGGTTTTTTGAGAAACCTCATGAGATAAAAGCTAGAATAGAGAGCGCTAAAAATTTACAACTTCAAGCAAGAACTAGAATGTAATTTACTTTGACTCTGAATGAAGTACGTAGAGCACTGGCAGATGAAGGTGGTGACTACGGAAATTGAGTACGTTGTTTACACAGGGAATGGGGTTTGAAGATTTAGCTTTAAATGTCAGATTACTCGTATGCTTTCATGTAAATAAAAATAGTTTGAAGCACAATCACTTTCTTGCATTGTTCGTAAGTTTCAATCCAAGCAGGAGCTGAAGAATAAACTGCCTACCATACTATTAAAATATGCAACATTGGTAGGAAATACTAGATGTGACCTGTGACAAACTGACAGCTGTTATGGTGTGTGCTCCCCACTTTCATTTCTATTCCTGTGATAAACGTCATGACTTCTATCTGGACATTTTCCACTTAAAATGAATTGTCAACAGCTCAGAGGTTGACTTCCAGGTTAGCTATTTCCAAACTTGCATGTGGGCAGGAACATGGTGAAGACTAAGAACAGAGGTTTCAGCTGATAGCTACAGTGAGTGCAAGAGCCTCAGGTTAGGGAAGAAAGCAGCCCTGCTCACAGCTCCCTGCTTTGGTGTCCTGCACTGTGACAGATTTCAGCCCCTCGTTGTCACTTTGCAAACTGCCTTCTCTTGGCCTGTGTCTCAGTTTTTTGCAGTGTGGCCCTTAAAACTAATTTCCTGCTTTTGTAGCTCAGCCTATAATTGAGATTTCTTTCCTATTTTCGTATCAATCTTTCAGTTTAGGCAAAAATGGTACAAGCTGCTTGGTCTTGCAGGTTGCAGGCAGATGCAAAGGCTGGAATAGATTGCTGAAACAAAGGGAGAGCAGTGGCTGATCCCATGGTGGTTGTCACTAATCTCGTAAGAGCCACTGTTGGCATCTTAGGAGCATGGTGAAGAAAAATTTAGCCCTTGGAAAGTCCAAGGACAGACCATCCTTAGCTGCTTACCAGATAAGCTGAATGCTGACCTTGGCACTGTTAGGGATAGACTGCAGTTGCTCCTTTGCCTATGCTGGGTCCACACCCCAACCAAGTGATAATGAATTCTTTTTTACAGCTCTCTGGTTTATTGCTGCTGTAATATTTTCTGTCTGCCAGGATTCGTGGCAACAACAAACTGTTTGTGAACCTCCAGTGAAATTTTTTATATGCATAAAAATGATGTAGTGAAGATGCTGGGGAAGGAAGCTCTGCCAGTGCTTTCCTGGTGGAATTTGACATTGAACCTGAGGTAGCTTGTGCTACAAAGAGTTTACACAAAGATGGGAAGAGTCTGTATTTTAACAACATTAAATAAACTGGTTCAAAAGAGCTGTTTTTAAAGTCTGTATGACAAACTGTCTCTGCAGAGCAGCGTTATTTTTATACTGTGCATGTTTTGTAAAGAAGCAGAATGGGGATGGCATCATTCACTATTGGTTGCTTTTCTTGCACTACTAAAAGGAATGAGGAACAACTGACTTTCATGTTTACGAGCATTCGTTGAAATGCCACCATTGCAAATTGGTGTTAAAGTTCTTGTGCTGCTTCTAAAGAATGCAGTTTTGATCTGGAATAATGAATGTATGAATGACTTCCTCTCCCCTATACTCTCAGGTATCAGTTTTATTGAGCAAGCAGTAACTCCAAAAAAATATTTGTGAAAAATGATGAAGATTTGTTCAGAAACCTTCATGGAGAGCAGCCCCACCTGATACAGCATACTGCTGGTCTGTGTATTGGTGTGTAAAATATACAGACTGACTTATTTGTATGTATGTTTCTGAGGCAAACCAGGGCAACGTGTTTTCCTGATGCTGTTTTAGGAGCACGGAGCAGATGGCAACTGATGTTCTGGTCTAGGATGTGCTCAGATGAGGTTTGCTCAGTGTGCCTGCATGCCTACCTGTGCGACCTGCCTTAGGGAACCTGCTTTGGCAGGGGGTTGGTCTCGATGAGCTCTAGAGCTCCCTTCCAACCCCTACAATTCTGTGATTCTGTGTAATTCTTATGTAAGCAGCTGTGCTGAAATGAACAGAGCCCCATGAAAAGAGATACATCTACCCAAGCAAAATGCTTCTGTAGGGCCGTGGGGGTACTGCAAATTTCAAGAGGCATTCAAAGGTACAGGCTGTTCACTGAGCTACGTAGCACAGGGATGTGGAAGTCTTAAAACTCAGTTACGTTTTTTGGTGGAGGGCCAAGATGTTTTTAAAAAGTACACGCAGGATGAAATTAAGTACAAAAGACTGTACTGAAGGAACCTGCAAAATCCAATGGCCCTCTGTTATTACATGGTTTGGTTATGCAAAACTGAGCAACTTCTTGAAATACCAGTTTCTATTGCAGTCAATCCAAGAAACTATAGAGCCGTTACCAGATGCACAATCATCCTTGCCAGCTGTCAGAGCTGTGTTACAGAGAGCTGACCAGCTTGTGATTTAAGAATATGTATATATCTAAAATATATTTGGTGTTGGAAAGGTGAGCCCGTGATGGCATCGCACTGCAGTGGGAGTCGCTGGGTGGGCACACTTGTGCTGCAAGAGCTCAGTGGGGAAGCAGCCCGCCGTGCTCACAGCCCTTCCCTGCAGGGGGACTTCGATTCACGTCCTCACGTGGAGGCTTTTAGATGTGGTTTTGGACTCTGGGCAGCTTATCCATCAGTAGCAAGCGGCGTGCTTAAATAAGCACAGACGTGTCATTTCACAGCTGTCCTTTTTTTCTGCAACGGTTCCCATTATCTCGTGGTCCTGTCTTAGGAACTGAGTGAATGTGCACCCGCCAGCACAAAGCACACGCAGTGTTCGGTCACTAGCACGAGTCGTGCTGCTCGGACAGCTTTTACCTTGCAGTCTGCTGCGGTGTCACCGCTGTGACTGGGCAGCTGCGGCACGGTGATTTGTGCCAGAAGGTTCCAGCAGCTGTTGGTCAAACTGCACAGCCCTTCTGGGCCATCATCGTCGCTGATACGCGCATCGGATGCCTTTGTCACACGCAGCCCTGCGCCCACAGGGCAGCCTCTGAGCCTGGTGCCCCCCATCACGTGGCGCTGGCTGAGCTCCGGCCACCACGAGGAGCAGCTGCTCTGCCCCGTGTGCTTCGCTCAGCAGCGGCCGCCCCAGGGCCTGACCACAGCACAAGGAACAGCCCTGGGGCCTCTTCCACCGCAGGCTGAACTGCTTGGGATAAAACTGGGGCGTTTTCTGGGACTTAGAAATGGTGGCTGCTGTGCGATTCAGAAGATGCCCCCTGTGTCAGTCCATTCCTAGGACAAACCACTTGTTCCTCATTCTAATGACTATGTAATAGTATATTTTCAAGAAGAATTTGCTAATATATAGCAAGTAAGAGGTAGCTGTATGTTGTATCTCATAGAAATTTCTCATCCGGTTGTACTATCCAGGGTTCTTGATTGTGACTGCAGTTGCTGTCTGGACGTAACATGAAGTACTGCAATTTGTCTCCAGGAAGAATAGGCTATTTTGCTTTTTTCTTTGCTACAGCTTTGTCACTTTACCAAGAAGGCCACACATCTGTGTTGGCAGGTTGGCTTTTTATACAACGTGTTGTATGTAGAAGTACTGTAAGACAAATGGGGTGTTAAATAAAATATGTTTCACTTAAGAAAAAGTGATCTGTTTGAAGCACTGTTCTTTCCCATGATAGCCTGCTTCGGAAGTTTGTTCAAAAGCATCAGTTATGTTAAAGACATTCGTAGCAAGGACTGAGCCATAGAAAAAGCACACTAGGCCTTCGACCTCCCCTAAGGGCGAGGAAAAGAGCAGACCCAGGTTTTTTGCAGGCTGGGACCAGTTCAGCCCTGTGCACAACCTGAGCTTGCTTCCATGCCCGGATGGCTGCTGAGTTAGTCCAGGAAGAGTGGCATTACTCATTTCTGCATCCAGATGAAGCCACGGATGGCGTGCCGTGGTGGCTCTGATGCCCTGTTCTTCCTGGCTCATGCTCTGCCTCTGGCAGTGGTCAGGAAGATCCCAGTCTCTGGCTTGAGCCCCATCCCTCCCCTACTGTGCACTTGTGTACAGTACAGCTCCTGCACTCCTGCAGAGCAAGGAGCAGAGTCCGGCCCTCCATCCGACCCGTATTGCCTGGGAAAAACAACAGCACAGTTGTGTAAGAGGTCTTACAGGTATGCTTTTATTTCTTTCTCTTTCTTTCTTCCTTTTCTTTCTTTGTTCTTTTTTTCTTTTTTTTTTTCTTTTTTTTTTTTTTGAAAATACCATGTATAATCTGTTTAAAGCTTCTCAAAATGCACAGGTTCCCATCCAACAGAGCTGTGCAGCGACATAGATTCAAGACAAGAATAAAATCTTTACTCTTCATAAGACACTTTCTTTTTCCCATTACAAAATACTTTTAAGAATAATAACATCTATAAATGTATCTATATTTGACAGCATATAAAATAAACCAAGATTTATAGTCACTTCTAAGATTTTTCTTCTTTTACACAGAGTATGTTACAATATATACAGTCAGTTTTTCGCTGTGTTTGTCAAACCAGCCTGATTGCACCCACCAGGCTTTAGCTTATATGTACAAATACGCTAAAAGTGCAAGACTTTATTAATTAAAGCTGCCTGTGTTTTCAGAGGTCTGGAATTGTGTGGCCTGCAGATAGAGATACACACATACATACATATATATATGTATATTACAAACACACACCTGTATAGCTAGATATGAAGGGAGAGAGTGCTAGCACACGGGTGCTTGTGTGCTGGAAAGCCTCAGGTTGTCTCTGAGCGCTGGTGCTGGAGCCCAACTTCACTCATCAGCACCCAGGGGGGAACCAAACCCGCCAGCAACCCTCAATTCCAAAGGGATCCCAAAAACACAGGACGTAGCTATCTCCGAGGTAAATGAACAGGAGTCCACCTGAATAAGAAGATTCATTCAGTCGTTAATTCTTCGAGTGATAACTAAGGCAAAAATCCCACGGCCCTGAGCCTGCCGTGCCCGGTTGGATGCAGGCTGAGCAGAGGCTCTGGGATTTTGGCCCACGGCACACACGGCTCTGCCCAGGCGGCACCAGGCCCACGAGCGGCTGTGCTAGCGGCTGGGGTGGGTGCTGGAAATAAAAGGGGGTGTGATAAAGTGCTTGTTTCAGGTTGCTTGCTTCAGCAAGGCCAATCTCACATGTAAACATCCTTGCAAACCTCTCCTGCTCCCTGCCGCGAGGCTGCGAGCGAT